ATTTTTTAAACAAGACAAAAGCACAAAGCTAACTAAGCTCATAGCAATGCTCAATAACAAGGCAACCAATCCATGTACTTAGCTACACAAACTAAGCAATGTGACTAACAAGGTTACTAAAACCAAATTAGCATATATACTACTTCTATGAACACAAGCAAGAAGGTAATTAGCTAGTACACAAGCTATCTAATTACAAGAACAACTACACAAGCTTAAGATATATATATGGAGGGATGCCAACGGAAGAATAAGGTTGAACTTTTTCTCTCCCGATTCATGGTTTATTGACGATGAAAGAAATGGATATCGGAGAATTCTTTCCCTTGAGTGAGGGAGCTATAAAATATTATTGCTTTAGCCATATCACAAAAAAAGCTATACAATAGAGTTTGTGAGCCGTCTAGGAGGTGGCAACCTCCAAGAGTAACAAGCACCACCGCTCGCAACTCGATCATCTAGTGCCACTCGATGCAACCTCACGCTCTCTCTGTGATGCAACCTCACGTGTTAATTTCATGAACTTTGCTTTTTGAATTAAATGTCACTTTGCTCCAACGTCCACTTCTATTTATAGCCCCATTAATAATTTCATGGCAACGGTCGGGCCGACCGATTATTATCTTATCATGCTATCTGTGTGTTTTCAGTACAAAATTTTAGTTGTCCCGTAGCAATGCACGGACACGCTACCTAGTTGAATATAAAAGGAGAGAATCGTTGCATTCATACATATAATGTATGTCTAACTTCAAGGTTTTGTGCTAACCACAAGTTTGAATTAACTCATTCTATTTTCCGAACTAATAGTAATAACTAAATGTGGCATATATCTCAATTCTTTTAAATGTGCCAACACCATCAAGTGTACATCACCATGTGTATGTGTGTTAGCATTTTCAAAACATTTCCCAAAGGATGTTAGCCACTCAACTTGCCCTAATCCTATGAGATCACTCGTATTTGAAGTAATAAACCTTTGAAGAATCATCCTAAACCCGGTCATAAACTTCTCTCTCGTATGACCCGGTGAAATCTAGAGATTGGGTCACATGCACCAACACTATCAACAACATAGAGCCTCTTCAACCATCACGTGATCTTTTTCATCGATCTTGACTTCACTTGCTTCACTTCGGATGTGCGCCAAGTCTTGCTCAAGCTTCAGCCATATCAAAGATCTCCAATCGATGGACCATCAAGCCAAGTCTTGTCTTGATCTTCTCCACCTTGATCACATGACTCAATGTCATTGGTGCAATAAGCTCCTTCATCATCACATATAGAGCTTTATTCTCCTTGTATTTGGATACATTTTGTTCATATCAAGTTTTTATTAAAATGTTTAGTCCACCTAGGTTGTCACCAATTACCAAAACCAACAAGGACCTTTCACTTATTCTACTAATATCTGTGGAATAGTCCTCACCCTAGACCATACTCCGAGTATAACATACTTTGTTTTAAAATTCATGGAGATTTTTAAGACACGCATTATCCATGTAGATCGCACTAATATTTACATATATACTTGAACACTCATGCAGGATTATATGGAGATGCAAATGAACTTATTCATGGACCCATTGAATGAAAGAAATGGATATCGGAGAATTCTTTCCCGTATAAAATATTATTTTAGCCATATCAATGAAAAAAAAATCTATACAATAGAGTTTGTGAGTCTGCATGACGCCAGCGCTCTCTGTGGATGTGTTAATTTCATGAACTTTGCTTTTGAATTAAATGTCACTTTAACGCTGCGATTATTATCCTATCATGCTATCTCATGTGTGGTACAAAAATTTTAGTTGTCCCGTAGCAATGCACGGCACGCGCTACCTAGTTGAATATAAAAGGAGAGAATCGTTGCATTCATACATATAATGTATGTCAGTTAAGGTTTTGTTTGAATTAACTCGTTCACGCTAATAGTAATAACTAAATGTGGCATATATCGAATTCTTTTTAGCCACCGCTTGTGTTTAGAAGCGAAAAACATCCCAACCGCGAGAGTTTTGAAGTAATAAACCTTTGAAGAACATCAACGTATTCTCCTTCTAGAGATTGGGTCGATCCTCGCCAAGAACTTGTCTTAGCAATATCAACGATCTCTAATCGATGGACCAAGTCGTATGGATCTCTGATGGACTCCATGTAGAACTCCATTTGGTGTTGAAAATGTTTAGACACGAAGGCGTCCATGCGCCGATCACTAATCCCACCCGGAGACCACTCCTCGGAACACTCCGCGACGGTCATGGAGGTTGCACTTGTAGATCGCGGAGGTGAAGCACCTCAAAACATGGACATGGCACCGCACTGCAGCTCACGCTTGATTCGGGTGGCGTGCGGTGCGCCGAGAACACGATCTCAAGGAAGAACACGCCCTCATGTCTTCTAGCTTGATGGCTCTTGTCTTGGCATCCGCGATGGACTCCATGGAGAACTCCGTTGGTGGGATGGAGGATCCACCGTGAAAACCCTCCATGGACACGCAAGCATGGACATGAGGACCCGCGCCGGCGACGTGTTGGCGCTTGATCTCAAGGGAAGAACACATCCCTCAGCTCAACTTGATGGCTCACGCTGCGGCATCCGCGTCCCGTGGCCAATTGATGGAGGGTCCACCGCCGTGAACGGACGCGCGCCTCGATGAGGCCCGCCCACGGCGTGTTCGCTGCCACCGGACTCACCCACGGGCACGAGGATTCAAGCCGCGCCACCTTGCCGCCACCACCCGTCGAGGAGGCAGCGCCTTTGGACAAGACCTTCTTCTCTGAGACGCAGTAGAAGACAACGTGGTCCGAGTCGGGGTCGAACGGGAGCAGCAGGAGCGGCCCAAAGGTCGCGAACAGGACAGCGGCGCGCCATGGGGAGCAAGCGGATCGGAAGGACACCGCGTTGTGGCCTGACGCGAGACGCTGCCCGATGGACTCGAGGAGATCCTCTAGCAGGCCGGATCTCCAGTCAGGGAGAGGTAGGGACCTTCTCTTGGGATTGGGAGGCTGAGCCATAGAAGACAGATGACATCAACTATGGTTCGCACAAGAAATTGTATCTGGTGTCTACTGTCGCGATGGACCATGGATTGGGGAATGGGGATATGAGGAAAGGATTCAAAATGAACAGACCCAAGGGCAATTTCAACAAGAAACAGCAAGCGAGGGTGATGAAACACGTGAGCGTGAAACCAAATGAAAGGAGGAAAAAATTGTCCCTTTTGCAAATGCAAAGAGGGAAAGTAATTAAATGTAGGCAGATTTGGTAAGGTTCTCATAAATGCAAAGAGGTTCATTTTGTCTTAATTCTCTTTCCTTCTGTGTTAATTTTCTTTTCTTTTGCTCGTTGCCATATATGCTGGTGCATGCAAACATGCAATGTGTATATGGATAGCACAATAATTTTCTACTTCCTATTTTGTCGTGATTCCTCTATCACATGACAGGCAATATTCAATCAAGGAGATGTCGTGGGATCGCAGGCGTGGGCAGACGGACGAACCAAAACAAATGTCGCACCAAAAAATATCCACACTTTATTCTTTTTAGTTGTAGAAGATATCTTTTTCTCTCTTGTCATCTTCTTAATTGTTTCAGTTTGTTGTTTCAGATAAGGTTATCTAGATCAGTTGCTTACCTACATTTGCTATGGCTGCAATGCTTCTACGAGGTAAGCACTTGTTTTTCACTTTGCTTATGTTTAGAGCATTGTAAGTTATCAGGTTCTAGTGGTAATGGTGAGGTTTGACGACGTTAAGGAGCAGCTGGGCTCGATCAGTTTGGAGTTTGGAGCTGGTCAACATTGTTGAAATTGAAGCTTTATTAACTGAAAAGGGATATTGGCTGTGGGCTCCCTAGTTCCCATACGATGGCAGCCACGAACAGCCTCAGCACTTGAAGCACACAAGAAAACCAATATTCATTGATTCTTGTTGCGCACTAATTTTCTGAATGCCGTCATCTTTTTTTTCTTTGTAATCATTAATTACCTCAACAGAGAATTGGTTCTGGAAAGAAGAAGAATTTTATTGCGTTAATATTGTTTGATCTGAAGAATTTCTTGAAAAATATTGCAAATCTGTGCTTGTACTACTTTATGAGAATACGTACAAAATAACAAGAATCTTGTGTGGATCTTTTTGGTTTTGAGTGACAAGTTCACCGTGATTTCGTGCTTTGTGCTAATTGTTCATGCGTGATGAGTAATAGTTTTGGCTATAAACATAATGTTAGATCGTGCTCTAATGATACAACACATGTTTAAACTTTAATTGTCATGGTGTTTTTTTCACTGTAATGTATGGACATATAAAAATTTCCATAGGAGGAATTTAACAAATGAGCAACGACGCAACACCCAAACTCAAGAGCATATTGAAGCAACAAATGAACCAACGGTGGGTGAAACAGTCTGAGTAAGCGCACACAGAGATAAATAAAAAGATGTAAAGAAATTATGGGTGCAACGGTCTAAATGACTACTCCAATCAATTGACATAAAAAACACAAAGTATATCAAAACACATTTTGTCTGTGTGATTGTATATCATGCGATTCGTATGTTTTTAATGCAAAAGTTTAACTGTCCCGTGGCAACGCACGGGCAGACTACCCAGTACAAGAAACAAATCGCTACCTAGTACAAGAAACAAATCAACTTGACGACCACCAAATGCGCACTCAGGGGCGGATCTCAAATTCCCACAATGGTCATCACTGATCACGTTGCTAGAGCCCACAACGCAAAAGATTACAATCCACGAAGACTGCATCAACAAACGACTTTTGAAGACATGGCCAGTAAACACTAAACAGGTGTCAAAAAACAAGCACAAAAGCAATGGACCAGTCTGTAAGATCAACTATCCCGTATGTCTTTTTCCAGCATCTACCACAACAAAGAAATGCCTAGGGTAATTAACATCTACGGCCAACTTGGAGAGTATTGTTTGGTTGATCAGCTGAGTCAGCAATAGGAGGCCAGCAGCCTCACGGTTTTTATTGCCTGCTGCTTTTCTTGTAGCTGCAATCAGGGCACTTGTAGTGCTTTATCTGTTCCGCTTTCGCTGGAGTTATCCTCACGCATTTGCCGTGGAACCACCGCTCACAAATGTCGCATCCAATCCAGAACTCACTTGAGTTGTAGAGACCACTGCAAGAACCACAGAGGGTTTCGCTGTGTTCTTCATCATCCCCATACCCATCTTCAACAACTGCCACTCTTGAGTTCTTTGTCTTGCCATCGTTTGATCGCTGCATATATATAAACAAAGTAAAATGCCAATCTGTTAAAGCTCAGAGACATCGGATAACAGAGTGCAAACTGACTAACAGAGTAATGGCACCTTTGTTGAGTGCCTGGATTTGCTGCTGTTATCAACACCAGGCTTATTCTCCCTTCCCTTCCGGTCAGTCATTGTTTCATACACAGATGGATGATCATTAATCATGTTGAATAAGCGCTTCCTGGTGAATAAAAAGGTAGCATACTGAGTGCACGAGTAGAATTCAGTTAAGACATTCAATCACACTTTCCATTAACCATGCCCACTGCATTCCCTAGAAAAAAGAGGAGGTGGATGCTGTAGCGGTAATTACAAAATAGTTCGAGAATCAAGGAGACTAGGTACTTGACATATCAAGTGAGCCATTATTTCTAATTGTCACATTTAACAAGGATTCATTAAGAATATCCTAAATGGGCACTGAAAATCTGAAGAAAAATATAGTGCAGTAAAAAATTAACATGACACCTTATAGTACTATTATTTTTATCCTCTATATTTGTGACTCCTGTGGGATTTCATCTCTAGCCTACCCCAACTTAGGTTGTGGGACTAAATGCTTTGTTGTTGAATGATAAATAACTAAAATATACTGTGAAAACAGAGTATAGTCTGTTGATGTATATATACTGATAAAAGAGGTAACAACCTTGTGAACTTATGAAGTAACTACCACAGAATATTCCTGAACACTTTACCAAGGATAAATATTTAGCAAGATTATATTCTCATGCCAGAAGACAGTCTGGGAACTATCCTGGATATTCCATAAAGAGATGGGCAACAACAAAAAAATTGTAATATACAATGAAAGAGTAATAATAGCACACATGCTGACAGCGTCCCTATTGGAAAAGGAGAAACACCTCTGGAAATGGTTGAGTAAAGTCCTGGTATATCACAGGTTCCCTTAACTATGCTCACGCACAGAAGTAATAGAAAATTACTCATAAAGCACCTAAGCAATATCGCAATGATAGCAAAGAGGTTTTGTGAAAGGGCAGGATGCTCCACCATTCAAGTAAGTCAATGACCAAAAAATATAGCTATAGTGTGTTTGTTCATCATACTTCTTGCACAAAACATAAAATTGCAATATATATTAGCAGGGATGTCTATGTTAAGCTGAACTGAGAAAATGAAAGAAAGGATAGTCAAAACTACGTGACTAAATCATTATACAATAGAACAATAAAATGAAGAGAAGATGAAAATGTGCATTCTAAATAACTTTGAAAAGCTTCAGTTAGCTTGAGGAATTCAAATTTAGGGTATGTATATAAGAAAGCTGGGTTTGAGTTTTATGGTTAGACATGTGGAAATTTCATTATTGGATTATGTTGGAGTTTTGTGCGATTTCTTTAGGAATTAGGATGAAAGGATGAAATTGAGCACTGCAACTCCAAACATCTATGTACCGATGACTTGAGCTAATTCACTATTTCAGAACTGAAATGCACATCATATAGATGCGCTAGCTACTAGACCTTATGGCCCATGTGTGCTCTATCAAGCCACTGAGCCAGTGAGGGACCTTAGGTGACCGAACCAAGCTGTAGTCCAGCTCCACCAGTTCGGTTCCAGAAAGCTCAGTATTTTGAGGGTGTAATCCAGTTTAAACAAGAAAGAAAAACGAGAGTATATCAGAGCAAAATATAACAAGTATAAACTTGTTTGTCGCGGAACAACCCAAAATCCAGACATTTGGAGTGGCAAAATCATAAATAAGCGCTACAAATGTAAGGTAGCATGTCCTATCGATACATCATTCCTTCCTATTACATATTGTAGAGTGCAAATATGAATATGAAAGAGAGAAAGAAAAAAAAAGATGTTGTCTGGTCCAAAGAGACCTATACTTGTCAACGATCCCACAAGAAACTTTCAAATGATCTTTTCACTCAAAGATACGGGGTGGTGGGGCTGGGAGACTATTTGCACATTATGCGCAATTGTAGCAAATTAAGGACCAAATCATAAAGCAAAAGCAAAAACATGGCCCATTGACAGCAGATAAGGAGATAAGAGTGGAAACAATGAAAGCACAACAACCATGTGCACAAACATGCCGCAGGTGATGCGAAATAAAATAAGTAAACCCATAAACCCCACGAGCACAGGAGCATCACCACCACCAGAAACCAAACCATAACGCAAACAAGACAAAAAAATCAAGCGGTTACGAGAATCCAATTCTCCAAGATTGACGGTTATGAGAATTAAAGAGAGCGCTCCCAGTCAATGTAATGGAGGGACGTAGCCCGGAGCATAGTAGTACCTCTCGTTGGCGTTGAGTTTGGCGGCGAAGAAGAATGCGACGGAGACGACCCAGGCGTCGGAGTGCGCGGCGACGAGCGAGAGCCAGTCGCGGCGCTTCATGCCGTCCCTGGCGAAGTTGATCCCGAGCGCCGGTTCGGGCATCTCCGGCGGCACCTCCTCCACCGGAAGCGACACCTCCCAGCCGCCGTTGGGGAGCCCGTACAGGCACAGGTTCTCCTTCTCTACACGTACCCCGAGAAACAAGTCAAACCCCCAAAACCCCAAACAAACAGCGGCAGGAGCGCAACCAAAGCAATGCTACGGCTCAGATCAGATCCGGTATTTACCTGGGTCGCACATGCCGTAGAACTCGTCCACATCTGCAAAGCAGCACCAGCAGCAGCCAAGCAAAGGAAACCGGAATGGTGTAAGACGCGAGATCCGGCGAAGAGGCGCGCGCGAGAATGGCAGAAGGAGAGGGGTTGTCCTCGACGTTACCGGAGGTGAGGGCGCGGACGAGGCCGGCGCGGCGGCCGGCGTAGTCCTTGTAGATGTCCTCGACGGTCCGGGGCGCCGAGGAGACGGGGCCGGCCATCTCCATCAGCGGCGGCGCGGCGTGGGCGGGGCTGTGTCGGCGGCGCCTCCGGTTGGGCAGCGAGGGGTTCTGGGTCAGGTCGGAGGTCTGACACCGCCCGGGATTTAGCCCTGTTCGGTTGGCTGTCGGGATAAGTCACGGCTCAAAACAGATTTATCGTGAGAGAAGTATAGGGCGAGGGCCGGAAAGGTCAGGCGGTGGACGCGGTTCACGGAGGAAGACCCCCCGTAGGGCCCACGTGTCAGTGGGTAGTGTCGTGAAATGACACATATACGTGAACGAACGTTTACATGCGTCTCTTCACGAGTGATCTCATCCATCAAACACATGATTAGTGGATAGGATTAGACAGTTAATTTTAGTTCGAAATGGCATGTCTTTTGAGGATAGTCGTGTTCCTTCGTGACACCCTTCCACTTGTATAAATATATTTCCGAGATCGATGAAAGCAAGAGTTCTTCCACGTTATGTTCATTTACATTCACTTCTAACACGTTATCAGCACACGTTGCTCTCGCGAACAAGTCAGAAGAACGGAGAGGCATGCATGCCTCACCGGAGACAATAGACGATGAAGTGATGAACTATTGTACGACCATCGATCTCAAGAACGAGGAAGGCCGAAGGCAGTTCGCCACAGGAACATCGCCGGAGACAAGCAATTCACCGACGACGATGTCGTTCTTCGTGGCGATGGAAGCTATGATCTTCATCTTCTGTCTATTGCTTTTCGCAACTCATGTTTTTCTTTCCAGCGGAGAAGATCTTCATCCGGCTTCTTGTCTTCCGAAATTGATGCACCGTGAATCATTTGCATCACATGTTAGACGGAGGAGCAAGACAATATGAAGCATGGGGACCAGTTTCTTCAATTTCGCTGAACGAGTGCTAATCGGAAAAGAACATGAAAGGATTGCAAGCCTCAATCCAACAATGTATGTACGTGAAACTTTGGTCGCAGCCAAACATTTCCCATCTACGCATCGAGTATGTTTTCACATATCCATATCACCACCCCAACATACCAATGGGCATTAGAGATCTCAAGAGGTAACTCTATAGGGGATTTATAAATTGCCCGTATGTTGATCATATTTGAGGATAATTTCAGGCATTAGGGGAAGATTTATACCACATTAAGAATGCCAGGAATCAAAAGAGCAATCCTCACATCCACGTACCAAAAATTATAAACCTAATCATTTAGAATGTCTTATATTTGCATCATATTGCAAAGAATCTGCCAGAAACATTTACTGATAATATGGGTGTCACAAAATCCTCTTATCCTACTTATAATGCGCCCGAAAGAACGGAGGTACCAATTAAAACCATTCAACCCCCACTTCCAAAGAAGATGGGGAGAAGTACGGCCGCTCCTAAGAATAATGCTCCAAGTAAGCGTCCGAGGACACCGAGGACAATATCCTCTAAATCAGTAAATCCAAGCCAACCTCAAGTTGGTAGACACCCAAAATGGATGAGCATCCAAAATCCGGATCAAAATCCACCCGAATCAACGGTGCACCCAAATTCTGATCCTGGGACATTGGAACACCCTGACTCCATATGGGAAATGACTCGGAGTCTAAAAAGGTTAACATTTTCACATGCTATATTGATTTCAAGAACCGAATCAATCATTTAAAGACTACAAATTGTCGCGGCATATACTCCTCAAAGATTGTTTTTTTATCTTATTGAATCCAGACCAAAAGTCCTAGGCAGAGTGTCTTCACACTCAAATTTAGTCAAACTAAAATATGGCAATTAAGGAGATTGCTCTTATTCAATAATGAGAAGTATTACCACAGTAATATCTTCCCTCACAGAGTTTCTTTTTAGAAGCAAAGTGGTGAACAATGAGAGCTTGTAGCATATGGTTTCACGCAGAGACCCAGCATAGCATACCCCATGATATGTGTGAAAATAAAGTTTTTCAAATTCAATAATTGGCATATCAAATGAATTTGATGGATTCGGACGTATAAGTTCCAATGGACTTCATATTCTGAATCTAAATACAAATCGCAACATACATTGTGTATAATTAAGCATGATTGCGTATATTGGTTATTTTGATATCATCATGATACAGAAATAATTATACAATCATTTGAGATGCAATTTCTATCATGTGGATTCGAGATGGAGGATTTAGGTAAGACCAAATATTGCCTAGACTTACAACTTGAGCACTGTCCTTCAGGGATTTTAGTGCATCAATCAGCCTATATCCAGAAGATATTGGAGAAAAGATATTGGGACCAAGGTTCCGTATCTTAGTGTCATTGGAGCACTTATGTATCTTGCAAATTGCACCAGGTCTGATATCATATTTGAAGTGAACATACTAGTTAGACATAGTGTAAATCCAACTCATCGTCATTAGACGGGAGCGAAGCATATCATCAGATATCTTAGTGGCATAAAGGATCTTGGTTTATTTTTTAAGAGAAATCATGATCCCAATATGATTGGATACACGGTGTGGGGGTATTAACCCCTATACCCTTATGGCTAGGCTTGGGCCATCCCGGATCAGAGGGTCCGGTCCGCTAAAAGACGACGCGCGGCCCAGCCAACCTGTTCGGAGTCCCGCGCAAGGAGTCAAGACAGATTTGGCGATCAAGCAAAATCCTGGTCGGTTAGAATAGGAATCCTTATCCGGCCACCTATGACAATTGTAACTGGCTAGGATTAGTTTCCAAATCTATAACCCTATCCCCCGGACTATATAAGGCGGGCAGGGGATCTCTCTAAAAAACATCTCTCATTGACATACAGCAATATAATTAGACGCAGGACGTAGGTATTACGCCTTCTTGGCGGCCGAACCTAGATAAAACCTCGTGTCTGTCTTGCGTCACCATCTTGTTTGTGGCTTGCGCATCTGTCTGCCGACAATCTACTATCTTGGGCATACCTCTAGGTAGACTGCCGACCATATTTCATCGACAGTGGCGGGCCAGGTAGGGGGTGTGGGTACTGCTCTTCAAGCGAACAAGATGGCTATCATCCCCGGCTCCATGGCTACACCGAACGGCCTCACGTTCACCGTCGGACAGATCACCTGGACCACCGACTCCGACGACTTCATAGCCATGATCACAGAGGAGGCGCGAATTCAATCTACGGCGATCGACGAGGCAAGCCATGATCACCATGGTGGATCCTCCGTCGGGATAATAGCTCCCGACCACGATGCAAGCGGCTCCGCCATCCCGTGGTTGGAGCCACGCCGACAACCCATCGTCCGCTTCCCCACTACAAAGGGAAGCAGATCGACAACACCAACTTGCTCGACTCCATTGATCGGGTCGGCACCAAACTCGCTGAAACCCTAGCTCTGGTAAGTTCAATTCAAAGTCAACCTAATGAGCAGGTAACCACCCCCATAACAGATCTACTCGACCAGTTTGGGCTAGTCATCCTACACGACTTGGTACAGATCTCGTGGTTATATCTACTCCTGAAGGGCGCTCTGCTCGTCGCCGGCCAGCTTCTACGACAGGTCTCCGGCTCTCTGAGTACGAAGCCTCGACGGGGAACTACCAGGCCCAGCCCTACGGCCTGCGGAACGCTGCCTCCAACTACGCTTACAATATACAACGCTGCTTGGGTCTGCGTTCTGTACTCCGACCTCGGCCAAAGCCACGCAACTTCATCAACATGGTCTGGATTGAGGATTGTCAAGAAGGATCGGTCCACACAGTTCAAGAGGGTGGCTCAAGCTCCTCGTCTGGCACTGCATCTAATGCCTCTGTTCGCACCGAGCTCTAGAATCACGACGATGAAGGCGTCGAATACGATCTGGATATCCCAGACCACTCCCCGGGATACCCGCAATTCCCGTCCTTCCCACCAAGGCGGGGAGGCTTGATCAACGTTGTTAGTAATGATGAACCACCGGCAGTCGGTGAGACAGAGCAAGAAAGGCTGGCACGTGAAGCACGCAATATTGATCGGTTTAATCGCCGACAAATCGAAGCCGAGGCGGAAGAAGCACGACGCATAAGGGTCTAGCCACGCAACCTCAACAATGCCTTCGACAGGGTGGGGGGTAAACAGGTCTTCAGGACTCCAAGCGCCAACGTGGCCGTTGCTATGGCGACAATGCAACGGCTACCCAATACCCCGGAAACCTAGGCAATTCGCGATGATATACAAGCTTACCTGACGGCTGCTATGGCCCAGACCGCAGATATCGTAAATCAAGCCCGGGCTCCATCCGTCTCAGTCGAGTCAAGCCACAGCCGCCAGTACTCAAGTCGCTCACAGCCACCCAACCAACGTGGCTCGCGCAACAATGACCCATCAGACAACCGTCAAGGCAGAAACGGTGGCCATGACGGTGGTCGGGATGACAACCGCCGTCGGGAGGATGACCGCCGCGACGTTCGGGATGACAACCGCCGAGACAACCGCAATAATCGTCGTGAAAACCACGGTCGCAGGGCTAATCTAGATGGCAACCGAGATCGCCGTGATGGCAAGAACGATCTCCGCCATTACCTCGGAGGACGTGATCTACGCGATCGCATCAACCAGAGAGCCAACGATCATGCATCCCATGAAAGCTATCGCCGTATGGAATATGATACTGTCCACCGCCCACCGGGTTTGAAGCAGTTTACTCCGCACCTTTGCCAAGTCATATGGCCCATGAACTTCAAGCTCGAAAAACTTCAGAAGTATGACGGCAAGGAGAACCCCGAATTATGGGTCATGCTCTATGAAACCACGTGCAGATCAGCCATGGCTGACGAGCACGTCATGTCTAACTACTTCCTAGTCGCTGTTGGTCATGTAGGTCACCAAACGCTGGTCAGCTTGCCGGCAAATTACTTCGATTCCTGGCAAGAACTCAAGCAAGCTTTCATCGACAACTTCATTGCCACTTGCGAGCAACCCGACAACAAATATGATCTGCAGCGGATTCGAGATCGGAAAGATGAGCCACTGCGCGAGTACGTCCAGCGTTTCTCGGAGATGCGCATCAAGGA